ATTGGCATTACAGAACATGTAGATCTTTTGCAGCCTTAACAAGCCTGTTCCATCTCTGAATGTCTTGGGAAATTTTTTTTCAACTTATGAGCATGCAGCTTTATAGCATCTTCGTTGATTCTATCTATCCATCTCCTTTTTGGCCTTCCACATGGTCTTTTGCCTTCTATTGATGCATCCATTGTTACGTAGAGGCTTCCAGACAGATTGCTAGGAGCTACATGCCCCGCCTATCTTAACCTCTGTGCCTTCATATCATGGGATATTTATTAACCAGTTTCTATAAGCAGTTCTTACTGCTGACTGTCCTCCAACTGCTGTAGCCATGTTAACAAAAGGAAACAAGGCAACTTAGCAAGGACCAAGAGGCATGCCTGTATTGGATTGAGTCTTTTCGACACTAGGAGTGGCAGAAAGAGGAAGACAAAGGAAGAGCTTCTGTTAGTCGCAGAGTTTGTGAAAAAAATCAAGTTATTTCATCCCAATTTTTAATACATGAATGTAAACTACATACAGTTTAGAATTATAATCGATGACTGTCAATTAAGGTTAGGGAAATTGAAAATGGCAGCTGATCCAAAATGTTATAAACTCAAAATCCGAATTATGTCATACCTGTTCATTTGTATCCCAATTAAAACTAGGTTTGATGCTAACAAAAAACAAAACAAAAAACAACACAGCCATGTCTGTGATGTGCTAAGTGTTGTACTGACAAAATCCTTAATTCAAGTTTAAAACTTCTTAATTAAGCACACCAGACCAGATCTTCATCCTAAAACAAGTACTTTAGTTGACAAGGGTCCTGCGTTTTTACAAAAAGTTTTCCTAACAGTATCCAACCTATGCAATCATTCAATTGAATTCCTACTGGACTTGAGGGTTTCGTTCAAATATCGTCCATTCACAGGGTGCCTACTGACCGGGAATTTCTCAAAAACTGGGAATTGTATGGGAATTTCTCAAACCAGGGAGAAGTGTAAAAAAGAGATTAATTAATTAAACAAGGTTAAATGTGTTATAATTCTAAGGCAAATGATTTTTTTTTTTTGTTGCTAATGTTGCAATGCTTTTTTTTTTTTTTATCAAAGACTTTTGATCACTTTAACTGTTAAAATTGTGAATCATCAACTTGCACTGATCATTATTCTCTCAGTATTAAGCAAGATAAACATTTGACTATTTTATCTCAACCATAAGCATTAGCTTTAGGGTTCTGTTACATTTCCCCCTTATGAAGGCTTAAACATTGGCACACAATAAAATAAGATTTCTTATTTAAGTGTAATTTCATTTATGGCCGCACACACAACTAACTTTTTCTAATATATTCTGATAGTTTGATACATGAATTTCGAACATGAAAAGTTGTATTTAAAATGTCTGCAACTACAAGCATGAATGAGTGAGTTTTTAAATATGAATATTGCTCAAATTTTCATATGAGTCAAACAACAAACAAGTATAAAATAAATTGTGTTGTCTGTAAAACCCACGGCAACCAAACATGCCAGAGTCGCTTTTTTTTCCAGTATAAAACTTATTTTTATATGGGTCAAAAATGAACAGATATGAAATAACTTGATTAAGGAGTTTTAAACTTGAATTAAGGATTTTGTCAGTACAACACTTGGCACATTACAGACATGGCTGTGTTTTTTGTTAGCATCAAACCTAGTTTTAATTGGGATACAAATGAACAGGTATGACATAATTCGGATTTTGAGTTTATAACATTTTGGATCAGCTGCCATTTTCAATTTCCCTAACCTTAATTGACAGTCATCGATTATAATTCTAAACTGTATGTAGTTTACATTCATGTATGAAAAATTGGGATGAACTAACTTGATTTTTTTTTCACAAACTCTGCGACTAACAGAAGCTCTTCCTTTGTCTTCCTCTTTCTGCCACTCCTAGTGTCGAAGAGGCACAATCCAATACAGGCATGCCTCTTGGTCCTTGCTAAGTTGCCTTGTTTCCTTTTGTTAACATTGCTACAGCAGTTATGAAGTTTTTATTGAAGGTCTGGTTTCTGTATTCTGCTCTTAATAAGGAAGAGAATAACAAATCAAGGATCCAAGTCTTTCGCACAAGTCCTATTGGGATTCCAAACACGTCTCAGCAAGAGCAACACTGTGTTAGTATAAGCATACACAGATAGCTGAATCTTATTGCTTAACTGTTAAACTGAAAGGATTTTTTTCCAGTGGGGCAAGTTAATTACTTATTACCTTATACAGTATACTTATACCTATTATTATACTGATTACCCGGTAAAATTAACTGATCCTTCAACACAGTTTTTAAAAAGTATATATAGCTTCACCAATTATGTGTGTTGTATAAACTTTCTCGATAATATTACATTGTCCTAAGGAATAAACATGTTTCTCTGACATTAGTTATACTTCAGATATATTAGGGAGAAAAAGGCTATTCATTAATTCAAGAGTTTTTGCACAACTATATTAGTTGTTAACTTATATTTTTTTGAAATTTGTGTAATAATATTTTTTTTCACCTGAGATCAAAAGAAGTAAGATTTTGCCAATATTTATTGGAATTTAATGATTTTAACATTATTTTAAAGAAATAATAATTTGATAAATTAAAAGCATTGTAATTTTTATAACATTATTTTTAATACTAAAATAGTCCTGTAAATCAAAAGCTATAAAAATAGCAAGTATTAAAAAAATCTAGATAGCACTGAATCCAGTTCATTCTGGAGCCATCTGGAAAGACTAATGCAAGATCGTCAACTATTTAACTCTTTATGACAATGGACACGTATGAGTCGATAGGGATACTGGCCCAGGCGACAACAGTATATGAGTCAAGACAGGACAATTTACTGGTGATGGTGGACTCATATACCTAGTTCTGCTATAAATACTGTAACAAAAGTTGAACTTTGTTTACATCCTTGGGTATTATTTAGATAATCATTATCTCTACCAGGTATTTTCTTTACATGGCAGGATAATAATCCCAATTAGTTTTTGAATTTTTCTTTCGCTCAATTAACAAGGAGTGGGGCGATAAAGAAAACCGATTAGCTGTGATCGTCTTACACAAAGTTGGAAAATGTAGGTCAGAGATTTTTAATACTTTAAAACCATTGGGTATCAGCCATATGTTCATGTCCCACACTATAAATAGATATAATGAGACCCTATTTGTATGTAACAGACCTCGACCACACCGTCCCTGCACTGTGAGAACAGGAAATGCTGTGAGAGCAGTGGCTGCTCGTATCAGAAGAAATCCCATTCGAAAACAACAAATCATGTCTCGGGAAATGGGAATATCTGTCAGACCAATGTCTCGCATAATAAAAAGTGACCTTAGGATGGGTGCATTTTGAAGAATGATAGAACAAAGGATAACTTTCCTAAAAAAATTAGAGTAGATAGATGCAAAGTGCTCCTTAGCCGTTACACCAATGGTCTTCATCAAAATATTTTGTTAAGCGATGAGAAAATGTTTACAATGAAGAAAAATTGAATCGCCAAAATGATCGTGTGCACGCACAAAGCTCTGAAGAATCCCAGGGAGTCATTGAAAGAGCGGAAAGAGGTCATCACCCTTCCTCAGTGATGGTTTGGTGGGGATTTAGCTTTGATGGCAGTGCCTGCAAAAGAACATTCCAGAGTTCATCTCTGCCTCGGATTGGCCCTCAGAAAGCCCTGATCTCAACCTACTAGATTATTGGCTTTGGTCCGAATTGGAGAGGATTGCATGCTACAGAGCACACCCTAACTTGGAAAGCCTCAAACAATCTCTGGTCCGATCAGTTGAGCACATTCCTCAAGTGCTGTGTGCTGCTATTGATGACTGGCCATGGAGATTAAATGACTGTGTCAAGGCAAAAGGGGGACATTTTGAGTAATTTCTTTTTTGTTTTACTCTCTATAGATATAAATTTTATTTTCTAATAAAGTTTTTGAAAAAATTAATTTTTCTGTTGAAATCTGTATATATTTCATTGTAACAATATTTATGACAGGACTAGGTATGAGTTGAGCGCCTGTCGAGCTCTTTTACGTTAAATGACAGGATGCTCAGTAATCGATTCATAGGTACATGTATAATGTCAATTGCACAATTAGATTAAATAAACTATTTTAAACCAGGATATTTTAGAAAAGAGTAAATTCGTAGTATAATATTTTACGTAAATTACTTCCAATTTTAGTAATATAATAACATATTTCTAAAAAGAAAAAAACAGTTTTGTTTTTATTTTTTGACTCATTCAATTGTAAACAAAATAATAAATTAAAAGTTCATATTAAAAAAAAAATTAAGCTTGGAATGATGTCATAAATAAAGACCCTGAAGTAGTGGAGGTGATGAAAAGTATTCCGCTACACAGGAAAGGATAAGTGTTGGCTAGTATTGTCCTCGAGGCCGCTCCACCCTTCCCATTCATTGTCAGTAAAAGATTAAAGGAAGAGGTTTCATAGACGTGAGTTAGTTGGAAGTCAGTAGGTCATAGAATCAGTTCCTTAGCCTGCAGTTCATACTTAGTTGGTCTTTGTTAGTTCGAATTGAGTCTATTATTCAAAGTGAGTTCTTTATGAAGAAGTTAGCGGTCAACAGTTGTTAGTGTAATGGTTACAATGTTTTTTCAACATGTGTTAATCCCACAGTATATATGCAGTACATGTTATTGAAACAGCTGAAGTATTTTTTTCTAAGAAGCCTTATTAACTCATTCTTGGCCTTTGACCTTTGAAAATGGAATATAATAAGATAAGAGTTATTTAGTTATGGAATTTCTTATTGTGAAAGAATGTCATCTGAGTTATTATCACTGGTTCTCCACTGAATTTCAAACTTCAGAGAGCAAAAATTGATAACATTGTCTCTACTTTTCTTTTAGTCCAAATACTTTCAATCACTGGCAACTAATTAATTTGGTATTAATCAATTTTTTTTTATTTCCACTATAATTACTTACACTATTTAAATAATGAAATTAAAAAACTTACAGAGCAGAATTCAATATGATTTCCATACATTTAGGGTCTAAGTCACATAAAACTTTAATTAGTGCAATTCCTCTCCGCAAATCAACATAAATTTCTTTGTCCCTCCATTTCCTATATTAAAAACATATGAATCTTTCTTTCATATTTCAATGAATTATAATAATTAATATCACTATTGTCTTACTTGGAAGAGAAAATGTTATATTCCAACTTGAGTTCAGATATGTCAGAACAGGAGTCAATAATTTGATTATCTCTCAAATGTATTGTGCTAAAATAAGCATCTACAGATGGATCACACATTGCTACATATAACTCCCTAGTCATGTTTTTCACATGTTTAAATACCTAAAATGAACAATTAAAATAATAAATTCACAACAGAAATTATATTCATTAAAAATTAAATGCATTATATTTATTGAAGAGAAGAATCTTTGGGGTGATCAGTCAAAATAAGTAAATATAATTATTTATTTTTACTATTTTTGATTTTGACTGATAAAAACCACCAACCCACAATCATTATATATTTATTTAAATAAAACAGAAAAAATGTCAAACTAAAAAAAAATCATGAAAAGTTATGAAAATAAATAGTTCATTCATTAGCAATCCAGGTACCACCATTTTCCTGAAATAGACAGGAACTAAGAAAACTAACCCAGTATAGTCTCGAGACAGGCCATGATGGCTGAGCATTTAGAGTTTTCCCTGCTTTAACATTCTCGAGTCTAGTGGTATCAGTTGGAATAAGGCCTGAGCAGGTTGAAATTTATTTTGTGGGGGACCCATGGAATGAATTATGACTTCCCCACTCTAGATGGAATAGATCTGGTTATACCTCTAGAACAATTTCCCCTAGAAAATGTTGAACGTCAATCTGCCGGCTCAGAAGAAAATCTTAAACTTTGTTCTTCAGACTCAGAAAATTTTAATGATGTTTGGAACAGAGTAAAGAAGCAATTAAAAACTGGGCTGAAGAGATTCTTGGTAAGCAAGAACCAGGAATAATAATATAAGAGTGGTTTGATAAGGACTGTAAGTGAGTCAATGGCCAACAACGATGTTTACCATAATACGGTAAGCAAGAATCGTTACATAATGAAAGCCTACGATGCAATAAATATACTATTCTATAATATAGTATTTTTTTACTGCACCTCCGAGTAACTTCTTCTGAAATTAGAATCTACGGTCTACCATTATTTTTTCTTTTCCTTTTTTCTCTCCCTGTAAAGCTCTGTGGCTTTCATTATCTAACGATTATTGCTTACCGTATTATGGTAAGCATCGTTCTTAGTCATTGACTCACTTAAAGTCCTTATCAAACCACTCACATATTCTTCTTAGTTCTTGCTTACCGAGAATCTCTCCAGCCCAGTTTATAAGTTCCTTAATCTGTCCCAAACATCATTAATATGTTCTGAATCTACAGATCTAAATTCAATATTTTCTGTGACTAGAGATCGATGCTCAACATTTTCTAAGTCAGCAGATCAAATTACTAATTGATGTATACAACTTGATGCACTATATTGATGTATACAAGAAAAATACGAAATCTATGAATTAATGAATTATAAATATATAAATATAAAATATAATTAATTACGCCACACCGGACCATCTCTTTCCTTTAAAATACAACGGTCAACTATTAAGTATTCAATAAAATATTTGTACTTCACATTTTTATCTAAACCCAACAGGAAGCAAACTAATGAGCTTTCAAAATGGGCAAAGTTTTGAAAATTCGCAAAAACCATGCATAATGCTTTGTTTTTAACTAATTATCTGTTTTTGTAAGTGACATAGTTCAAATTTATATAAATATGAAAGTACACACAATTTACTTTAGCTTATGAGAAACATATTTTTCTAAACTTAACTTAAATACAAATCGCTAAAAAGAAGTTCATGTTTTGAAATTTGAAAAAATTCTTCTTCTTAATCATTTCCTCTTCTACCGCTGAGCGGCGTGAGGAGCCTTCTTGTAGAGCCGAATCCACAACTCTCAATCCTGAGCCAACTGCCGCCTCCTCCTCCAGTCAAAGGCCTCCTTGACACTGTTCTCTCAGGTCTTCCTGGGCCTTCCCTGAGGTCTTCTTCCCTCCACTCGGTCAGCAAATTTCTCCACAGGTGCTCTACCCAGATTTTTCCAGTTTTAACTAAAGCTCCTTGCTGAACAAACCTGTAAGTATCTATTTTATTGTATTTATTTAATTTTTTTTTGTTTTTCTTTTCTTTCTTTACATCCCTTTATGTTCATTATTTCATGTTATTTATCCTTTTCTTCCAATCTCTCCTTGAGATCTGTTGTATATTCATAATTGCATATATTATAGTATATATTATACTACAACAATTTTTACCATTTATTTACTTCAGTTTGAGTCTGGCTCTGGCCGTGAAGCAGTGTAGTTCGGATCACGTTGTGACTAGTGGTTACCATACCTATTAAGGATCACTATATGTTAATTTGTGAAGTGGCTGCGGAAAAATAAGATGAAAATACTTTCATCGAGATTCCTTATTCCAGACAACTGTTACAAGCAGCAGGTAGATAAGTAATAGTGGGGATGTACCATGCTATAACCTGCCAAAAATGAATCAGATATCATAACCGGTGTGACATCCCCTCCATCTACCTCATCAGCTGGTGAGCAACTCTCATTAACATAAAACATTAGGAACAATATAATTTATAATGAAATGGCCCCTTATAGAAGGAGCCTAGAGGACATTACAACTGAAATAAAAATTAACACATAAAACAATGAATCCATTGTACACAGTACTGCACAGTACAGCTGAACAGGATTGGATAATAACCTACTCTACACTCTCTGCAGGCGTTTGTGGATGACCTCGTCAAATTGGCCCAGAATGATTGTGACCTCCAGAACAACAATAACATCCTAAAGGAAGATTTAAGAGAAATCAATATGGAAATTAACCCTGAGAAGATAAAATGCATGCGCTTTGGAAGAAAACCTCACAGAGTTATGAGGGTATTGAGGATCGACGGTGAAAAGTTTCAAATACTTGGGTGCTCAACTCAATGAAAATGGATATATTGACGAGGAGGTAAGGCAGAGAATAGGAGCTGCTGGAAGAATGTTCGGCTCGGTTAGGAAAGACTTCCTGAATCTAAAAGAAGTGACCAAGGAAACGACAATGACAGTCTACAAATCAGTATTTCTTCCTATGCTAACGCATTCTTTCGAGTCCTGGACACTTACTTTGAAACACAGGAACCAGATCCAAGCTCTAGAGATGCGATACCTGCGAAAGGTGGAGGAAAAGATTCGACGAGACAGAATTCTCAATACTACGCTAAAGCGGTCGAGACCATAATAGAAAAACATAATTTGAGATGATTTGGGCACCTTCTCCGTATGGATCGGAACAGACCCGCAAGGAAGACATATGAAACTCGGTGCAGGGTAGGAGATCAAGGAAGATCAAGAATATCGTGGCACGCTGGCACTGGAAAGGTCTACTTGGTCCAAGCTCTACAAGAAGCAACCTCACACTGCATAAGCGGTAAAGAGGAACATGATTATGATGATGATGATGATAATAAAAAATATAATAAAGAAGCTATTTTTGACTTATTAAATTTAAAATCTGTCTATATGTTAAGGAAATACAGTTTTTATTCACTTTTTAATTAACCGGATACTGTTCCATGTGGATGTGGATGGATTCTGAAATGTGTCTTTTTCCATGGTTCCATGGGACAGTGGCAAAGAATGGAGGTTTTTCAAATTCAAAAGGATAGTAGAAGATTAAGACATGTTCTGATAGTTTGGAGGTGGAAGGGTTCCGGGAAGTTATGGATGTTTATGTTGGAAAATACGGGTTTTGAGATAGTTTTTAGTTTCACCAATATAGGAACTATTGCAATTAGGAGTAGAGCAAGGTACCTGGTAAACTACATTATATCAATGTTGTAAAAGTATGGGATCCTTCAAGTTGGTGAAAAGGAATGAGACTTTGTTATGGAGCTTAAGGCCAAGATGTAGTAAGTTGATAATAGTAGATTTTACAAAGTTTTGTGTTATCTGATAGAAAAGGAATATAGGAGTTTGTATATAAAAGGGATGGTAGGTAATTGTGAAGAGTTGAGAGAAGGAGAGGTTGTACTATTTTTGGTTATATAGATGTTGTAAAGTTTAAGTATAAGTATAAACTTTTAAACTGTTATGCAACTAAAAAGAGTATAACCTCCCCTTCTCTCAACTCCCCACAATCACCTACCACTCCTTTCATATACAAATCTCTCTCCTATATTCCTACTTTCTCAGATAATATACAAAAATTCCTTAAATCGACTATAACCAACTTACGTCTTGACGTTAAGTCCCATAACAAACATTCTTTCCTTTTCACCAACTTGAAGGATCCCATACTTTTAGATCAATCTAATGTAGTTTACCGGATACCTTGCTCTACTCCTAATTGTAATAGCTCCTATATTGGCGAAACCAAAAACCACCTCAAAACCCATATTTCCCCACATAAAACTATTTCAACCGCCATCTCCTATCTCAACATACCCGTAGACTCCTAATTTCCTCTCTCATCTTCCCCCACTTCGACTACAGCTGTGTAATGTATGATGGCCTCTCGGTGGAGCTCTGTGATAGACTGAAAAGATTAATGAATAGCTGCGTAAGATTTGTTATTGGTGCCCCAAGGTACTTCCATGTCTCTCACCACTACACTGAGTTAAGGTGGCTCTTCCCCTCCTTTCGAAGACAATATTTCCTAGGTATGTTCCTTTATGAAATCATCAACAACCATCGTCCTTCTTACCCCTACAACCTTCTCCAATTCAAGTCCTCAGTCCATTCTCTTTCAACAAGATCTCGACCTTCTGACCTCTACATCCCTTCTCACAGATCTGCCTCATTTCAAAACTCCTTTATAGCTTGCTCTGTCAATTTTTGGAAGTCCCTACCTATCAAAATTTGGCGTTCCCCCTCCATATCCACATTCAGAACCCTCCTATTCCAACAGTCAGATGCTTGTTATAAATAAATATAAATAATAAAAATATTTTAATAATTAATAATAATTATAAATATAAACATAAACTTACTTGATACCAAACAAAGTAACTGTCTCACTTACTACAACCTTATATCCTACAACTCTTTACCACCCCGCTTATATGGATTCCCAAATATTCACAAACCTGGAAATCCCCTCCGCCCTATCATCTCTAATATTAATGCCCCCTCAGCTAAACTCAGCAAATTCTTTTTACCCTCTCTCCAAAAACTTAGTAACTATCAAATTCTCTATATCTTTTTGTATCTTGTCCGATCTAACCCTGA